CGTCATCAAAGCCAAGAGCTGACTGAAAGCCCGTTCAAATTCTATGCTAATCTGTCAGCATGAGTTGGCTAATTAAGCTAGATTTGCGAAATTATTGGCTTAGTGCCAGAGAACACACTCGTCGTGGCCCCAATTCAAAATTTAGCGATTAAATGACAAAATGTACGAACCACTAAAAAGAATTGAAAGACACGTAATTCGATTTGACGCCCCTCATTTGATATAAACACATCGAATTGAGTTCAGTTCAATTTCAATTGTTGATTTCACAGAGCCTTTTCAAGGTTGCCTGTAGCACTGGATGGGTCGAAGTCACTTGAGGAATTTCACATTCACTGATTTCCATGACACAGTTAAGCAAGTGTACATACATACATGTATGTATATATGTATTTAAATATATTACTAAGCACACACTGTTAAAGTCTTGTTGGTCTTTTCTTAGTTTTCTTTTCTTTTGCTCTATTTTATGCAACCTTATCACCTTTTAAGTAACTTTGATTTTAGCTTTATACTTCCGCCCACGCTATATAGAAATAGAATAGTCGCTCGATACGCCCCGACTAACCAACTTGTACTGAATGCCTGCATTTGAGAAGCAATCTACGGCCGAACTTATTCCAATGGTCATTCATTTCGAAGATAAGACGAGAGATAACTTCCACTCACAAAAGCCACAAAAAATGAGCCAAATGAATTGCGATAACAATTGGGATTTGTTTGTGTAAAGAGCGTGAGCTTCTATAGAGTATATATTTTTATACAGATACACCCCTTTTATAACAGAGAATAGAGACAGAGAGTATGATAGGGCGACAATAGCTTTTCATTGGGCGCTGCTTGTAAATGCAATTCAGATATGCTTTAAATGTTGTAAGCATATCCAGCCTCGAAATAAATCCCTATGCCTATGTAAGACTCGCTTTAACCGATGATAACTGGATAACTGATGAGAAATAGTGAGCATAAGACGATTTTCTTTATCCCCTACGTGCTTTACCTATTAATGCCAATGAGGCAATATAAAAATTGTTTATCCTTTTGAGCTTTTATTACGATTTATATTTAGATAATTATAAAAGTTAATTTTATCTATCTTCTTCTATTCTCCTCCTACATCTTCCTATTAAAGGATATCCGCTTTGTGGCCTATACAACAATTTTGTTGACTATTGCTGCCATTAGATTTTCTTAGTCAGTTGAATTTATATGTATGTTTGACTTACTGAGAGACTAGTTGGCTCGATAAGGATATTTTAAACTCTCATGGACATCGGCCCTCCAAAAACTTAGGCAATTAAATATAAAAGTTCTTACTCTTATTTTAAGTATTATAGAATATTATTATACTATTATATTAACACCTGTATCTCTTGTCTTTTATGAAATATTAACTATATTTCTAACATCCAACTTATCCCAATTTAATCACAATTTCACTTACATGCAATTTGCACGTACGATATTTCTATTAATTAAAGTTCAGAAAGAAAGCATTCACATGGATGCGATCTGTTTTCTAACTTATTTACAGCTCATAGAGGTATGTATGTATGTACTTATATTGTATGTTTGTGTATCTAGAAATTTGATAAGAAATGGCTTCGTTTACTTACAAAAAACTCATCCTCGATGACCGGATCGGCGAGCATCTCGATGGCTTCGGTCATGGAGCGGCAGGTGCGATTCGTGTTCTTCTTCTTCTTGAGCTTGCGTCCCARTGTGGCCGCATCGCTGAAGCGATGGAGCAGCTTGTCCCGCTTCCGCACCGCCAACGGACTGGCCGTGGAGCTGGCATGGCACAGCAGGGACGAATAGCCACCGTTGGTGGAGGATATGGTGCCGGTGTTGGCATAGAAATTCTGCGGCTGGTACTGAGCCGGTGCAGTCAGCGTGCTGTTCGAGTCGATCTTCTGTATGAGATTGTACTCAGACTGCGGATACTTGCTGGCTATGATGCTGGACGCATGCGAGGAGTCTGTGGACTGCAGCGATGCCTTCGACGTTAGTTGGGGCTTGGGCGGCGGCGGCGGCGGTGGCTCCTTCATGAGCGCCACACGACGCGGTGCTGCACGCGGTATGGTGGCACAGTGGGTCGGCGAGTTGCCGCCGCCGCCGCCATAGCTAACCGCACGACGGTTGCGATCGTTCTCCTTCTCTCTGCAATGAGAAAACGAAAAGCATTTTGTTAGATTATGAACGAGAGAATTTCGTGAGGCTGAGCTGAAGACACGGCCCACCTAAAACGACGCCGTTGCATGGGCGGACTGAAGAAGCAGTTGGGYGCCAATGGCACAAAATAGCCCCACTGTGGTGCCGCCTCTGGCCCATCATGATAGATGCCCAGCTGCGGTGTCAACTCCCTGGAGTGGCTGCCCGCGGCACGCAGAGCTGGCATCGA